AGGTGATCTGGCAGTATCTGGAGGGTGACACAGGGTTAGAAGATTTTCTCTCTTCCCATGTACCCTGGGAAGAACATGAAGCTAATAAGGATAAATGGAGGGAGAGGTTGGCTGTCCAGGATGGGGGGGTGGATGAGTAGGGGTCTGAGATTTGTGAGAAGCCAGGAGGTAAGGCAAGGTTTATGAGGTATATATACAATTATATAAAAGATGGAAAGACAGGAAGGAAACACATAGAAATGTTAATGGTGTTATCTGGGTAGTGGAGATGACTAGAAGGAAACACATAGAAATGTTAATGGTTTTATCTGGGTAGTGGGGGTGATGCTTACCTTTTTTTTTTTTTTTTTACTTCTTTTGCATTTTTATCCTCTTGTTTATGGTTTTTATATTTTCTTTTTCCCTTTATAAAGATACATAACTTTTAAAATTGGGGAAATGTGGGAGGACCATAAGAGGTAGCAGGGGACACTGACTTCAGCACAGAGGCCACCCTGTAGGAACATGTGACAGAAACATGCACATCCCAAGAATGATAGTATAGTATGTGTGCATGCACTGAGGAAGGACTAGAAGGAGGTTCTCCACACTGTTAAGAGTAGTAACCTTCGGATGTTTGGGTTTTGGGTGATTTTTACCTTCTTTCCACTTCTGTGTGCAGTTTAAATGTTTTATAATGACTATGTACTTTTTTAAATCAGAAAAAGAAACCATTCTAATTTTGAAAAATAGGTGTAGACTTCATCACAGAAAAATAATAGTCCCACTATATTCTGTGTTGATAAAACCACATCTTAGGCTCTCATTCTCCTGCTGGCGTGGAAGAAGCAAGTGGCCGTATTGTGAACTGCCCACGGAGAGGGCCATGTTGTAGGAAACTGGGACAGCTTCTAGAGCTGAGAGTGGCCTTTGGCCAACAGCCAGCAAGAAACTGAAGCTCTCAGTGCTACAGCTGCAAGGAAGTGAATTTCACAACAACCTGAGTGAGCTTGGAAGCGAATTCTTCCCTAATTGTCTTGACATAAACACACCTTGATTGCGCCTCCTGAGACCCAGAGCCCAGGACCCTGTTAAGTCATGCCTGGATTCCTGATCTGCAGAAACTGGAAGACAATAAATGTGTGGTGTTTTAAGCTGCTAACTTTGTGGCAATGTTTTTTACGCAGCAATAGAAAACTGATACATCCTTCTACCAGCAGTGTATGAGAATTTGAGATGCTTTCCACCAAACCCCTTGTACTGTCAGTCCTTTAACTTTGGCCATGTTGGTGGGTGTGTATTGTGATTTTAATTTTAATTTTCTAGATGACTAATAATGTTGAACACTTACTCATATGCTTTTATGTCGTTTGGATATACTCTTTAATGAAGTGCCTCTCAAATATTTTCCCCATTAAAAAAATTGAGTTGCCTTTTTTTTTTTTGGCCTGTATGCAGACATAAGAAAAATTTTTTCATTATTGGAGTAGAATTGACATACAATGTTATATTAGTTTCAGGTGTACAACATAGTGATTCAACAATTCTGTATGTTATGCAATGCTCACCATGATAAGTGTACTTACCATCTCTTACCATACAATGTGATTACAATGTTATTGACTATATTCCCTATGCTGTACTTTTCATCTCTGTGACTTATTTATTTTATAACTGGAAGCTTGTACCTCTTAATCCCCTTCACTTATTTCTCCCATTCCCACATCCCCCTCCCCTCTGGTAACCACCAGTTTTGTTCTCTATATTTATGAGTCTTTGGGGTTTTTTGTTTGTTTTTTAGATTCCACATATAGGTAAAATCATATGGTAGTTGTCTTTCTCTGTCTGACTTGTTTCACTTAGCATAAAACCCTTTAGATCCATCCATATTGTCACAAATGGCAAGATCACATTCTTTTTTATGGCTGAATAATATTCCATCGCGTGTATATGTGTATGTATACATACTGAGTTGCCTATCTTTTTATTGCTGAGTTTAGGAGTTCTTTATTTATACAGAATATGAGATTTTGTTGGATACATGGATTAGAAGTCTGTTTTCCCAGCCTGTAGCTTGCCTTTTCACTCTCTTAATTATGTCTTTTAATAAAAATAAAAATGTTCTCAATTTTATTTTTTGTTTTTTTTTAGTTTTATTGAGATATAATTGACAATATTGTATTAGTGATGTAAACTTCACCTTAATTAATAAAAAAGATTTCTTCTGGCTCCAAATACAATGCTCTTTTCATTCTTTAAGACCAGGTGTTTCTCTTGGGAGAGTAGAAAGAGGAAAGCATATTTTGGTTCGACATAAATGAGAACTTCCTAACAGTTATCCAATAGTGTAATGGGCTGACTTGTGATGTATACTTATACTGGAAATATCCTAGCAGAGACTCGATAAGTGTACATAATGAATATTATAGAAGGGACCTCTAAGTGCCCCTCCAACTTGAAGATTCCAGGATTCTATCCTCTTGAATACTTTGTCTCCTGGAGAGATCAGAATTCAGGCATAACATAAGACAGTATAATCAAATACTGGTCTGTGAAATAGAGACTACAAATAGAAGGTAATTAAAAAGGAAAATGGTCAACTTTCATAATGAGGATTAGATCTTTTTTATGTTGTTTTAGAAAAATGTTGAAAACAAACTAAACAATCAAATAGCAAATGTGTTAAATAAAAGTGTGGTATGTGTTTATGTTTCTACAAATGCTCCTTTTAATTCATCTATTGTAGAACTTTTAAAATAAGTCATTTGAAAACAAAGCTGCTTTTAACAAAGTTTACCTGGGTAGTCAGTGAGACTAGCTGGTGGTGGCAGTGGCTGAGGAGGCAAAAGTGCAGTCTTGTAGAAAAGTTAAGACAGTGATTTGCTCACAGAGACAGCCTTAATTTTATAAAGTTCAGTGACTTGGATGTGAGGGACAGGACCAGGCCATAGCTGGAGACATAAAATTCACATCGTTGGAGAGAATACAGTTCTTCCGAGTAAGAAGGACTCTAAGCTACCGCCCTTTTTGGCTAGAGGGAGTGTTTGCTGAGATGTAAATTGAAGGGAATTCACATTTTGGAATGCACGCACATTTTTTTTTTAAAGAGTTTATTTATTTATTTGAGAGAGAGAGATAATGAGAGATAGAGAGCACGAGAGGGAAGAGGTTCAGAGGGAGAAGCAGACTCCCTGCTGAGCAGGGAGCCCGATGTGGGACTCGATCCCGGGACTCCAGGATCATGACCCGAGCC